TTCCTTAATCTTCAATTTGTGCACAAGTCCGATAAAGGTAGGCTGTTAATTAAATAATCAAACTCCACCTTGTTAATACTTCTAGTATAGGAACATACTTTACATTTAGACACATTCATAAACAGCTTGTTTTCATTACACCAATTTTCAACGATTCCCAAGTTGGGTCTGTAAAAAGTAACTGACTTGAATTGATGAGATTGAGGTAAATATTTTTAAGTCAGCAGCGAACAGCAGGTTAAATTTATTGCCAAGTCATTTATAAATATACTAAATAATAGTGGCCCCAGATTGGAGCTTTGTGGAACTCCGGATGTTGCTGTGAGTGGTGAAGATAAAAATCCGTTGTAAAAGACATCATTAAAACGATGATTTAGGTAAGATGAAAATAATCTCAACAGCGACTGATCAAACTCTAAGCTTTTCAACTTACAAGAATATTATGATTTTTAATTATTACAAAATACATTATGGACAGGTTGTACAAAAAATATTCTAAACATATTTTAACTAACAAGAGTTTTATTTTTAACTAGTTATATTCAAAAACAAAGTCATTTTTAAAACTATGTTTAACAATAACCAATGAGTATACAACAAGGTTCACAGTTTAAACTAAGTCTACATTTTAACTGCCTATTGTACAACCCGCCATATATGTACAATTAAAAATTAATTGTATTTCTTTAAAATGCACTTGATTCTGTTGATCAAAACCATTCGATAAAAAAATTAAAAAGTATTGGTATAAAGGTGGTTTTTATATCTATGCTATAAAGCATGCATTGGGGCAGCATGTAGATTATCTAAGTATCAGGTCAGAGAGATTAAAATTAAATGACATATGTAGTGGGATTCTCATCTTTCAGTACGTCTCCTATCGAGACTCCTATCTTTGTTCGACAGACAGCGATTTTGATGTAATGTCTCTCTCTATTCTGTATGTAATGTGCCGAGTTCGCACAAAAGAATCGCTGTCCTGATCAGAAGAAATTAACCACATCAAAGGAAGAAAATTAGGTCCCATGTTATTTTTAATTTATATTAATGATTGTTGATGTCGCAATAATCAATATGATATTTACCTGTAAATAATAATCATCATCATTTATTTAATAATAAGGAACCCCTAATATACATATAAAACACAAATTACAAAGCATAATATATATATATATATATATATATATATATATATATATATATATATATATATATATATATATATATATATATACAGTGAGAATCTTAGGTCTGACCCCCCCCCTAACTAACTCGTTACTGGAGTCTTGTTAGAAAAATCGCCGAGACAGGTCGATTTTTGTTTTCTACAATGTACATTTTTGTAATTAGTTTACCCTTAATTTTATCCCTTACTCGAGGGGAACAATCCTTTCGAAAAATTTAAATGGCATGGGGTGGTGAGTGAAAGCTCATTTGAAAGGGGGTTTTATTCTCTATTCAACCGTGCAAAAAAAATTTAAATTTGCTTCATTACGTGTTGATTTATTAATGTTTAAAAATAACAAAATCTCACAAAATAGGAAAGCAACTAAACTAATAGTGACCTTCTAATGGCAAAAAGTCTTACTTCACGTCTGAACCAAAACCGAAATCATGCAGGGCCGAATTTTAATTCTAAGGATGAGTGTGCTACGTTAATTTCCGTTATTCTGAAACAAAAATTAGTCGAGAATTAATGAAGCAAATTTCAAAATGTTTTACATGGTTGAACAGAGAATAAAACCCTCTTTCAAATGAGCTATCACTCACCACCCCATGCCATTTAAATTTTTCGAAAGGGTTGCTCTGCTCGAGTAAGGGATGAAATTAAGAGTAAACTAATCATACAAAAATGTACATTGTAGAAAATAAAAATCGACCTGTCTCGGCGATTTTCCTAACAAGACTCCAGTAACGAGTTAGTTAGGGGGGTAAGACTTAAGATTCTCACTGTATATATATATATATATATATATATATATATATATATATATATATATATATATATATATATATATATATATATATATATATACTCCAGTAACGAGTTAGTTAGGGGGGTAAGACTTAAGATTCTCACTGTATATATATATATATATATATATATATATATATATATATATATATACTCCAGTAACGAGTTAGTTAGGGGGGTAAGACTTAAGATTCTCACTGTATATATATATATATATAAATATGTCATTGGTATGTGCATATTTCTAATTCTAAACGCAACACAGATGGAAATGTTTAAATAGTTTGAACTCTTATGACTTCTAATTAACAACTATTTTAGTATTAGATGAATATGGAGCAGAGTTTCCAGTGGCGTTTTTATTTTCTAATAGAGGTTTTTCTCTTGTATTAAAAAAGGTATTGAACAAAAAATGAACTTGTCTGATGTAACTAATGTGTATTTCAATGCAAGGATTAAAACTATGGGTTCAGTTAATAACTATATTACTCATGGCACATTGATGAAGCATGGCAGCAGAATTTGACAAAAGTAAAAAGTTCAGATAATGGGTCTATAAAACATTAAAACACCTACAAACTTGTTTAAATTTTAAGTGACAAAATATTTAAAAAATATATGCAGATATTTAAAATATATTAATTAGTGATGGAGATACTAAAAATATTATTGCAGTACGACTACTTGGAAAGGAAGTATTTTGAAAATAGATTTATGTGGGCGTATTGTTACTGTAAAGGTTCAGAAATTAATACTAACATGCATTTAGAAGTAAAATATATTTATTTAGAAGGAAAGAAAATAACGTTTGGATAAAGCAATTCATTAAAATATTTACGAGATAAAGTTATAGATCGAATTATAAAATTAACAAAGGGAAAAATAATGACCACTTAATGCAAATAATCAGACATAGAGCTTGCATGTATTGTTGAATAAATAGACAATAAAAGTATGAAAGTTTCCGACAGGCAAAATAATTTAGTTCATATTGTCACTAAATTTAAAGATGTTTGTTGTGTGTTGGTTTGTAACTTTTGTAGTATATGTGTTCAGTGTTCTTGCATTGATTTTTCAATTAAAACCAATATTTGTAAACATATACATTCTGTGGGCTTACTTAATAAAAATGATTATTTAACAGGAATTAATGAAACCAACAAAAAGAAGTTGATGAATTAGTAAATAATATTTCCCAAAAATATTCATTAAAACATTCATCAGAAATAATAAAGAAATAAAAGACACACAAATCAATTTAAGAACCTTACATTTACACGCCAGATAAAAACACGAGAGCATAATTAAAAATTTAAAAAGTTTAATCAAATTTGGTTCTGCAACACTAATGGACCAAAAATAGAAAAGCAAATATTCTCTACGAAGACGTATTTCTATAAAGTAATAATACTTTATTGAAATTATAATTCTACTTTATATAATTTTTATACTAATGGGATGAGAGTTTTTCAGGATTTTCCTCTCACCTGTAAAGCAAATGCACCATCTTAGTTTTCTGAAAATCACCCCCAGAGGGTATCCATTTTGACTTAATAAATATTTTAAATCTCAACATGATCTAAAAAAGGGTACTATTTTTTTAATAAATAATATTTAGTCGTAATTTGAATATATTTTCCTTCTCATAAAATAGTTAATAACTTGTTCGAAGAGACCTGCTTAAATTAATCTAATGGTATAGGGAGTCAATCTGTATTATTTGACAGATTTGCACATGGATAAATAATTAAAATCTTTAAAATTGCACATGTAGTATGTATTACTAGACGGCACCTCATGCATAATATTAAAAAAATAGGTGATTGTACAGATCGTTAAAACTGGGCTGGATATTATTAATTTTGTCAGAAAACAAACTCGTGTTTTTTAAAAAAAAAATTTTTCTTGGGTTTGTTTTCGTTGAAACATCCTATATACAGTGTGGAAACCACTTATGGAATAAAATTCTTTATGTCATTATTTTAGAAAATTATAAAAAATGCCGAGACATGTCAACTTTTGAATTGAGTTGTGCGTTATGTAAACATAAATTTAAATGTACAGGGTGATTCACGCAAGTATGCCATAGTCGGTGTTGTTTTTTTTTAATGAAACACCCTGTATATTTGCATACATACATTATTCAGTTTGTTGGAATCGGTTCATTAAGAGGATTTCAAAAATTTATAACCGCCGTAACGTAACTTAAGAACTTAACGTAGGAAGTTGAAATATTGAATTTAGGGTCTATTTATACTCCCTTATTATTAGTATTAGTATTATGATTAAGCATTAAACTGGACTAAATATTCAAAAAAGGTATTTGGGCGATTCTCGTGTAACTGCGATTTTTACAACTTACATTTTTCTAAAATTAAAAATGTTTTAAAACGTATGTTTTACGCGTTTTTGTTTTCTATTTATGCATAGAAATAAGCCTGTAAAGTGGTTCTACTACAGCTACGACACAACGAAAACTGTGACAAAATTTAAAAATTTTAATGCCACGGTACTGACATTATTTCCACGGTACTGACATATAAATGATTATTTTTTTTTTACCAATCGAAAGATTGGTATAAAATTGCAATAAAATTCAATGCAGTATGCATTAGATTGTAGTTATAAGAGGTAAATTTTATATTAAAAAATGAATTTTGATAGAAATTTATATATTTAATTTTAAAAATGAGAATCGAACATGCCACGGTACTGACATTTCGAGTATATTTATAAGCAGCTTAAAAAAAATTACGAAGGTTTATGATTTAATTCATAATGTCGGTTGTAAAATACCTCTAAAATTATAATATTATTAACTTTTTGATGAGGAAAACTTATGCTAAACGATAAATAAAACACTAGACATAAAAAATCACAGTTAGCCGAGAATCACCCAGTTTCTACGGCGTTAAGTTGCGTTACGGTATGGTTACGGTGGTTATAAATATAAATTATACTTTAGACGTTCCTGTAAAAACGTATATGTCAAATTTATTGATGTTTTTGTTAAAAGTTTGGTTAGAATTAAATGTCAGTGGAACCAAAATGACATCACACTGAACTAGCGCTTATATTCAAAGATAAATACGGACCTAATGTGAAGTGAAATTTACAAAAATTTTACATCATATACATACAAAAGAAACATCGAATTTTTTAATTTTGGAAATCGATATAAATTGAAATGAACAATGAGGTATAGATATTTCAATTATTTATGTTTTAACTGTGATTATTCATTTTCTTTATTTGCAGGATAACGAATTAGAGACGTTATTGGTTTCAGAAAATATAAATGTTTGGGCCAAAAATCAAACAGCATTAGAGGAACAAGCTTTAAAAGAATTACATACATTTTCTAAAGAATTTAAAAAGTCTCAAGATGACCCATTGGAAGAAGGAGAACTTGAGGAAACTGAAGAAATTCAATATCAAAATCAAATACCTGAACAGTCATTAAATATTGAAGCATATATAAAACATCAAGTAGAATTAAAAAAAAGACAAGATTTTAACAAATCCCTTAATGTTGAAAATCATAATTTAGTAATTAAAAAATGTAAAAAAGTTAAAAAGAAAAGAAAGACTATTAAACCCTGCAGTAATCCTGAAGATTTGGATGATGCAGATGCTATTACTATCAAAGAAGAGAAAATAGGTAGTGATGAAAAAGTAGAATCTGAAGATGATGTAGGGATAGATGATCAATCGGGAAGTGAATATGTTCCAACTGATTGTGAATCTGGTTAGTACCTATTTTAAAAACCTGTATATACATATGTTCCTAATAATGATGGATACTACTCTGCTTCCTATGTGATCAATGCAGCAATACTTCAAGGCTCAACTTTGACACTATTTTTGATTTTATTAAAACATCAACAAAGATCGTTTTAAATGAAAAAAAATATATTATTCTTAAATATTTTTTTTACAGATAATTGTTGTCTCATTTGCCTGCATTACATCTATACAATTTTTTCTTTCGAATACTTACCTGATTTCTAACTTCCTTATTCTCAATTTATTTATGTCCAAATAAAACCCTATTTCAATTACTCTTCACACATTTTCAGTGACATCCTTGATAAACGACGAACAAATACTAGACTAATTATGTTTACAAAAATCGAATTGCACTCATGGTATGATCCACATAGTTGTCAAATTATTAGAGAGAGAGAGTATAGGAGAGTATCATTTATTTTTATTTATTTATACTGCAAAACAAACAGAATGCAATCCATTTACATGTTATACAGTTTGGTAGCCCTTACAATAACTAAAAATAAATTTAACAATGGTATACAATTAATAAAAATATAATGTGTAATATTAAGAGTTATATATGTTATAATAGTTTTTGTTAAAATGTATGTTTATCAAATATTAATTTCAATTTGTTGAAAGACATATTAAAAAGGTCAATGTTACTGCTAATCATGAACCGATCTAGTGTTTGAAGAGAATTATCAGTAGGTGAGAATAAATTATTGTTGGAAAATAATGTGTATCTTTGCCTAAGGCGAATATCTGGTACGCTGAAATTGATGGATGCTAGTAATTCAGGTAAATTAAAATTTCCATATATAATATTTGTTATAAATGTTAATTGGGCTTTGTTCCTTCTGCTAAATAGTGTTTCAATATTAAAATCTATTAACTGGCTCTGGTAAGAGATACGTAAGGGGTAGTCTCCATATTTTTTCATGTGTAGAGATCTGACAAAACGCTTCTGCACTTTTTCCAAGGTATCATTATAAAGGATTGTTTTGGGTTACCAAATTATACAGGCATATTCTATTTTAGATCGTACGAATGCATTATATAGAACTTTGCATGTTGCGGTAGAGAAATCATGGCAAGCCCTGAGAATAGAAGCGAGTCTTCTATAGCAGTCTGTTGTTAATATATGTTTATTAAAATTTGAAGAATAAACTACCCCTAAATCTTTGCTTTCGTTTGTTCTCTTTATTAAGGTATTGTTAATTTTATAATCTGTTATGATGGGGTTCTTCTTCCTGATGTAAGTGATTATATTGCATTTAGGTATATTGAATGAAAGATCGTTGATATGACAGTATTTGGATATTGCTGTGATATCCCCTTGCAGTAACTCAGCATCAGCTGCAGAGGAGATTATTTGTCTAAACAGCTTCAGATCATCTGCATATAATAGGAATTTAGAATGTTTAATATAATCACTTATATCATTGATAAAAATGACAAATAGAAGTGGTCCCAAAATCGACCCTTGTGGTACACCAGAATTCGCTATGAAGAGTTTTGAATTACTGTCATTGAATCTAACAAAGTGTTGACGATTAGTTAGATACGACTTTATTAACCGAGTTAGATCATTGCTTTGTAATTTGTTTATCAGAACACGATGATTTACTCTGTCAAATGCTTTTGCTAGATCAGTATATATTGTATCGACCTGACTGTGTGTTATAGTGTTTTTTTTCTGTGTAGGCTTTGTTACTATTTCCCAGCGCCACTTTAGGAACAGCACTGTTAAGTAGAACCCAACAGTAAATGGTCGAGTGGGGAATTAATTGTTATAGTGTTAGCGACATAATCGTTAAGACCAGTTTTAAATTTATCAGGAAAGATGTTTTTTTGCACTGATAATGTAAACATTTGTTTTAGAGGAATCGATAATATCTCTGCGTAAGACTTGAGAAAATATGCAGGTATATTATCAATACCCATTGCAGCGTTAGGCTTCAGTGACTTGATGGCATTCAAAATTTCTTCTGTGGAAATTTTCCCTAGCTGCAATATATTTAAATTATAATTTTTGTATTTGACCTGATCTGGGATTTCTGAGCTGTTCGAATACACAGATTCAAAAAAATTGGCAAACGCTTTTGCAATGTCTTCATTGTTTGAGAAGTGATCTCCATTATATGAATACCTATATGCTATATTGGACTTACTATTTGACCTTTTACTTTTAATATAGTTCCAAAAATTTATCAGAGTTCTAACTTGCTTTCTTAATTCCTTAAAGCGTTCTGTATAATCTGAATTTTTTTTGATTTTTTATTGATTTTAATTTTAATTTGTGAATCAATTCTTTGGAATACCAAACTGGATATTTACCCCTAGCATAAATATCTTTTTTGGGGAATGCATTGGTTTAATATATTGTATAGTACTTGATAAAATAGATCTACACATTCATTTGGGTCATCTGATTTTATTAATGTTTCCCATCTACATTGGTTTAACATATGGTATAGTTTAACGTAATCTCTTTTTTATAGTTATAATTATGAATTTTCCGATGGTAATCAGATAAACTGAGATTGCTTTCCATGTGGAAATTTATTTCAATTGGGGGATGGTACATATCAATATTTACTAAAGAGTCAGAGGAAGCGGTTACTACCAATTGTGTTAGATTGCTAAACACTAGGTCTAGTGTATTATTGTTTTTATTTAGGATTGTTTATGGTTATAATTCAGCATTAACTAAACATAAGACTCGGAAGCTCACAAAAGGCTTTCAAAATTACATTAGGGAAGTATGTTTGCATTCTTAATGCCAGTTATTATCAGTTTAACCCGTTCACTGCCAGAGGACGCTTTAAAGCGTCCGCGTTACCTGCGCATTAGTACCGCTGGCACTTTAAAGCGCCCACGACTACCTGTTGGTAAATGCGTAGTAAGTAGGACTTCGGTACTTAGGTGACTTCAGGATTAAACTGATCGGCAGTGAACGTGTTAATGTTTTTTTTTTCATTGAAACTATTATAATAATGTAGTGTTTTTCAGAAAAGTATGCAATTAATTTTGAAGGGTGTTTCATTTATAAAATCCATGCTTACTCCTCAAATAAACATACTTGTGCAAACTATCCTTACTCAAATTACCAACCGTGTCCTTCTTTCTAATGTGGTAGTCGATGTGACAGCTCTGTCTGCATAACAATAAACACGATCCGAATGATTGCAATAAATAAGGGCGTAGTCTAGTAGTTTTTCGCCGTTGGCCTTGATCAACCAAATACGCACTTTTGTGAATATTAATTTTATATGTTATTTATTTGTAGATAGTGATAATCAGTATTGCAAATCTTTCAATAAAAGCCAAGAATCTCTTAAAGACAGTCAGAAGCACAATAGAAAAAGGAAAAGATTTCAAGAACATATAGTAAAGGTTGTAGATGATGGAATATGGAAGGCTTATAAAGACAGACTTGATTTGTATTACAAAAAAATTGAGGAAGAAGAATCTTTGAAACATTTAGAAGATGAAGATGATGAAATTGAAATAGATTATTATTTGATTAAGGGTGGTTTGAAAGCTCCTTTTACAATTTGGAACAAATTATATAAGTAAATATTCCTATGGTACATTATATTTGAATTATAGTAACTTAATTTTCTGTTTTTGTTTAGTTATCAACAAGATGCAGTAAAATGGTTGTGGAAAATACATCAAAAATCTACAGGTGGTTTGCTTGGAGATGAAATGGGTCTTGGAAAAACAGTGCAAATTATTGCCTTTTTACAAGCTTTAGAATTTAGTAAAATTAGCTCCTGTCATGGAAGGTAAAACTATTAACTTTGTTTTGTCATACATTAAGAATTGATTAAACTTTTAAATTGCCTGAAAATCCAATTTTGCCATCTAAAAGTATAAAGGAGTTATAGACTACTTTTTTATAGTGGTATCTAACCAATTAGGTTCAATTGTGGTTTTTGGTCTCTTATTAACCTTTGCTCTTTGTTTGGCTTTCTTTTTTAGGATTCTTTTTTTAATTATAATTTTCCTGTGTCTGTCTAAAGTCGGGATCCAACGGCGCTTGGAGTGGCACTCCACGTGCCAAACTTGCCAGTTCCCGCTCCGTTGGATAGGGCAGGCTTGCCAATCGTCGATCGGCGCGATGAGTCCTGTCGTCTGTCGGTAAATCAACACGGTTCAAAGGGACGCGGAAATTGGCGCGCAACACGTACTTACAGTTGCAACGGCGCGGCTAGGAGTGTGGTACTGTCAGTGCCGTGGTAACTTTCACCATGGAGTGGTCTAACGAAGTGGTGTTAGAATTTTTATCATTCTATGAAGCCGAGCCGATTATTTTTTGTCCTCTTGCCATCCTATAAACTCCTAACATAAAATAAAAGGCTGAGGCAGCAACGGTACGCGTTCGCTCACGGTTCATCTTTTCGTGCAATTAAACTAAATTATGAAATTTTAATCGCCAACACTGCCTTCATAAAACAGACTGTAATAGGTGCGTGTCCAAGTCCGCGAGATCCTCATGCGCCATGGAAACGGTCCGACCCTTGAGACTCAACTCACAACCCAGGATTGCCACTCCACGCGCCGAGGAGTGCCACTCCACGCGCCGAGGAGTGCCACTCCACGCGCCGAGGAGTGCCACCCCACGAGCCGTTGGATCCCGGCTTAAGAGTTACTCAATTATACTATAATATGCTTTGGTGCTAGTGATCTTCCAGAATTTTAAAAGCTGTCTAAGTGTGTTCTTTATACATATTACTTTGTTTTTACTTTATCTATTAATTTTTTTGTAGATTACATAGTGATAGTGAGTATTGCTAATAAAAACCAAGAATCTCTTAAAGAAAGTCAGAATCACCAAAGAAAAAGGAAATTCGTATTTTTTTTCTTGTGATAAAGAGCCTATTGTCTAGTTTAAAATAATAGTTTATAATACATTAATAACATTCCATTTTACATTCTCAATAAATTTTGTTCGTTTCCCTATATCTTCATTTTATTTATTAGATGGCATTCTTTAATTTTGAGATTAAGAAAGATATTTTTTAGGTTCATAGGTTTAGGTCCTTCTTTAATAGTATGTCCAGCAACTGTAATCCATCAATGGGTTAAGCATTTTCACGAGTGGGCTCCAGAATTTAGAATTGCTGTACTTCATCAATCTGGCAGCTATCAAGGTACCACTTACAATTTTTATTTATTTTTATCATTCACTTAATTACATTGTTTATTTCTTGTTTAGAATAAACAATAATTAAAATATATAATAAATTTTATACAAGCATATTAAACACATTAAAAATATTTTATTTTATTTTTTTTTCGTTTACAGGCGATAAAAAACATTTCATCAAAGACTTGCACAAAACAAAAGGCATAATATTAACCACTTATCTAGGAATTATAAAGTACCAAACATTTTTATTAGATTATAACTGGCACTATTTAATTCTTGATGAAGGTCATAAGATACGAAATCCTGCAGCTAAAGCTAGTGTAGCGGCTAAACTTTTCAGGACACCACATAAAATTATGCTAACAGGTTAGAAAAAAAAAATTCATATTGAATTAAACTTTTGTATGTAGTTACAAATTAACAAATATTTAAAATGTATTATTATTATTATTAAACTATATTAAATATAGATTTTTTTAATAGGCAGTCCAATGCAAAACGATTTAATAGAGCTCTGGAGTCTTTTTGATTTCACAAATCCAGGTATGTTAGGCAACTTAAAAACTTTTCAAGAACATTTTTCTACTCCTATTTTACATGGAGGATTCAGCAATTCCACACCTATGCAGGTAAATTATACAATTTTTAATTAGTCTCAAAGTTCTATAAAATTAATTAATTAATTTATGAGTGATTTCCATTTAATCTGTTCGTTCGTATTTATTTGCTCATTGTATAACAAGTTGAACTATTTTTTTGTAGGAAGCAACTGCTTTGTCAGTGGCTACTACCCTTAAAGACTTAATTACACCTTATTTATTGAGAAGGACCAAACATGAAGTCCAACACGACATTTTACTGCCAAATAAAACTGAACAAGTTCTATTCTGTTCTTTGTCAGATGAGCAGAAATTTTTATATAAAGAATATTTGCTTGTAAGTTTATCAATACTTATTTAGTAAGAAAACCTAGAAGATAGTTATACTTATAATAATTTTTATTTGTCTTTAATTTTTAAAATTTCATCTTTTTTAGGGTGACGATGTTAGCAATATTTTGGGCAAAGGAGTGAAAAATTGGGCTGGTAACAATCAAATTCGAGCCAGAGTTTTCGTAGCGATAACAAAGCTAAGAAAAATTTGTAATCATCCAGATATATTTTTATCTGATATAGGAAAAGATGAAATGGTAAAAAATATTTACTACTCACTTTTTTATTATTTCTTCTTTTTATTCAAATCAATTTACAAATATTGTTGTTGAATTTCACATTTTTATGTATTTGTAGGAAAGTGTTAATGACAAAAAGTTTGGTAATTACAAAGCATCTGGTAAAATGATTGTGGTGTCAGCACTGTTAAAAATATGGAAAAAACAATCTCACAGAGTATTATTATTTTCCCAAGGTAGAGCGATGATTCGTATATTTCAAGATTTTTTAGAAGAACATGGCTACAAGTACCTGAAAATGGATGGAACAACATCTATCAGTAGCAGGCAGGCTTTGATAGATAAATTTAATACTGTATGTACCACTTTCTATAAGAATTAAATTAAAAAACAAGGGTGTGCTAAAAAATAATCGGCAAAACTCAATTTGTCTTACAATATAGTAACCTTTTGGCTTAATACACTTCTTCCAATGTTTCTTCATTTTTTCACCACCCTTTGAATAATACAATTTCCAAGCCCTCAAAATTGGCCTTTAAAAAACAGTGACCATGCCTTTGTTGGACGACAGATTCACCTTAGATTAGAGTACTTTGTCTAGTTTGTAGTAGAGTCCATAGATTTTATTATAGTTCTCAGGCATAGCTAATTGCCCTTTGTGCAGTCTATAATATGTGGAGGACCTGGGTTTGCCTTAGCCTTCTTCTTGGATTGAGCAGGAGAAACACATTGTTTTGACGGTTCCTCTCTCCACGTTTACGAAATGGTGTAAAAATATCTTTATCGCGGTTAAACATTGCCAAACACTCCTTTAAAGTTTGCCACACCTTTGCACTTGTTAAAATTGGGAACATTTTCAAATATTGCAAAATATTTACATGTGTCGAGAGCTTCAGCCATTTCACATGCTCACTCGTCGATCATCAATCGATGTGCTATGGTTTACACTAACATAGACCGAAAAACTTTTCAGACCAGTTTCGTAGCAAGTGTCTTTTGGCCATTTCACTTTTTCTTAAATTTTCTTAAATTTTTGAGTTTTTTTTTACTTAGGATTCCAATTATGATGTTTTTTTGCTAACAACTCGCGTCGGTGGCCTGGGTGTCAATTTGACAGGAGCTAATCGTGTCATTATTTATGATCCCGATTGGAATCCCGCTACTGATACTCAAGCGCGTGAGCGAGCTTGGAGGATAGGACAGGATAAACAGGTCACTATTTACAGGCTCTTAGCTGCAGGAACGATTGAAGAAAAGGTAAATAAAACATTTTTACTATTGAAATTATACTTTTTTTCTACAATTGCTATACAAAATTACAGCTTAGTTGTGTTGAAAGTCATTAATTTCTCATAATATAAGAAATAGTGTTAAATTGTGTTGAAAGTTATTAATTTCGCATACTATGAGAAATAGTCTTAAGAAATCATTTCTTATGGCTTCTCTCTTAAATAAACATCAGAATACCTACCTAATAATAAATTGATTATTTAACATAGTTGTAAGGTTAAAAGCTGTCAAATGTTATAATCTAAAACCGGTATATTTTAATAAAAAATATTTGTATTGAAAAAATGTTATTTTAAACAAAATATTAACTATGGCTGTCAGAAATAGTAGCGATTGTATATTATTATTATTATTCTTTTAAAGTGTGTTCTGTGTAGGCTTTGTTACTATTTCTTAGCCCCACTTCGGGAATAGCACTGTTAATTAGAACCGCGGACTGTTAAATCCCACCATTGGCCAGAATTTATTTATTTAATTTTTTTTTAAGTAATTCCAATGTATAGGTAGGATTCCCCACTCTGACCATTCACTGATGGGTTCTATACTAATTTTTAAAAAATTCGGTCAATTAAAGACACCATTTCATAATATAAGTAACACAACGTAGTGTGCATACCAGAGAGATTGTAAGAAGTTAATACTATATCTCCAGGTAGGAGAAAACATACCAGAGGAGAATCAGTCCTTGGTCGTAGAACCACAAGAAAGTGGGGCTACAGAACAAGAGACTGATGCTCCAATGGAAATAGGGGACTCGGAATCCACAGCATGTGAGCTAGGTAAAGACAAGGAGAGGCCTCTTTTAGGGGACTCACCACTGTCAGACCCGGCTGACGTGCCGGAGGAGGAAGAGGACCCTACATCAAGAAGTAGGGGGTACCTTTAAAAAAAAATATGTAGGTAATCCAAGCAAATATACATCACTGTTGGGCGGCAACAGCTGTCCTACAACGATGTATAATAAAACAAGACATTGATCTTACTAGTCCAAGAACCTCTTATATACAAGGGGCGAATTAGAGGGTTACATATATCAGGGAACTATGACATGATTCATTCAGCGTCTGGACACCCAAGAACCTGCATTATTGCAAATAAAAGTTTGAAGGTGTTTTCACTATGGGAATTTTGTACAAATGACCTAGTGACAATATCCCTAAAGCAACTAATCTGATTGTTGGATCCGTATATCTGCCATATGACCAACCTGGGCTCCCCCCCACTAAGGGGGTGAAATAACTGGTTAGTCATTGTGAAAAAAACAAAATCGAACTTCTTCTAGGGTATGATGCCAATGCTCACCATATAGTATGGGGGAGCACTGACATTAATAACCGAGGAGAAGCTCACAAGAAGCGCTACTTTCCGACCGTAGACATATCCTGTTTAAGCTGAGTACAAAAACCTCGGGTGAGAAGACATATCATAATCCTAGGACCTGTAACTGGGGAGCTTTCAAGGAAGAAATCAAACAGGGACTGGAAGACTGTCTTCCGATACCGAAGAATTCAGTAGAAGTTGAGTTTATATCAGAGTTTCTGACACGAACCCTAACCAACACGTTTGAAAAAAACTGCCCTCTAAAAATTAGGAAAGAGGATCGAGACGCTGTATGGTGGAATCGAGACCCTTTCAAAAAAGAGCAGAAGTTCGTAAACTCTTCAACCTGTCCAAAAGGTCGGGGAACTCAGAAGCCTATAAGGCGTACCGGAGAGAATATGGCTATGTCATTAGGAAAGCCAAAGAAATTTCCTGGAAGAAATTCTGTGACGGCATTGAAAGCCTTCCGGAATGTGTCAGACTCAGAAAAACTCCACAGAGAGATAAGCAAGGATGCATGGGATCTCTGAAAAATTAACAAGGAGAACTCAAAAAAACAGAGGAGGAGACTTTAGATTTACTACTAAAGTCAAAGTTTCCTGGGCGTAAGATTACTCTTGACCAAGAGAACAGGAGTACCAAGGCACTAATTTCTAGGACCTCAAAAACAAACTGGTCTCTTACAAACTTAATAGTAAACATAACAAAACTTGTGTGGGCGAAAAATTCCTTTCAACCATACAAAACAGCTGGACCTGATGGTATAATCCCGGCCCTTCTACAAAAGGGCCAGGAAGTACTGGAGGGACCACTGTGTAAACTATTCCGAGCTAGCATAGCCCTCGTAAATGTTCCACAAAGCTGGAGGTGTTCAAGAGTGGTCTTCATTCCCAAACCCGGGAAAGCGTCTTACGAGAGGACCAAATCATTCACAAGAAAAATGAACCTTCAAGGAATGAAGGAGCTTTATATGTGGGGACAACATCTAAAAATGACAAAAGAGGTTAAATATCTTGGAATCACTCGTGATGACAAGCTTAGCTTCTGCAGCCATATAGAAAAAACAACAGAAAAAGCTGTAAGAATACTATGGCCTGTAGATGGATAGTATGGGGGCTTAAACCAAGTATGATGCATTGGCTTTACACTATGGTTGTAGCACCTGTTATAACTTGCTCATCAGTCATATGGTGACACAAGACTAAAAGCATAACAGCTAACAGAAAATTAGACCAGGTTCAAAGACTAGCTTGTCTAATAATAACAGGGACATTTAAAACTACATGCACAGCAGCAATGGAGCTACTGCTAGGTCTTCCACCTTGTAGTGGAGAAGGAGGCTATGGCGGCGGCATACAGGCTGTTTACTAATGGATTTGAATGGGAACTTTCGAGAAAAGGACACCACACAATGATATTAGAGAAATTAAAACAAAATCCGGTACTAAGAATGCCATCGGATAGAACGCCCATTATTCACGACTTCAGGAAACCTTTCGATATTCAAATACCAGAAAGAACCAAAAGCTGGGAAAATAGGAAAAAAAAAAACGAATTAATCTGGTGTACAGACGGTTCGAAAATGAAAAACAACACAAGAGCTGGGATCTACCATGTGAACTCAGGGCGGACAATTAGTTTGAACCTGGGGTCACTGACAACAGTCTTCCAGGCTGAAGTAACAGCAATAAATATGCCTAAGTCATGCTAAATTACTCTCTTTGAGATTAGAGGATCTTTATGACAGACAGTCATGCAGCCCTTAAAATACCGAAAAGGGTAGAAGTACAATCTAAATCAATATTTGATTGCCAACAGTCCCTCCAGTCCCTGGCAGAACATAACAAGGTCGCCCTTGAATGGGTACCAGGACATGAGGGAGTGTTTGGAAACGAGAAAGCAGACCTCTTAGCAAGGAAGGGAGCGGAAAAAACTCTTATTGGACCAGAACCCACATGTGGTATCTCACACCAACATGTTAAATGGGTGTTGAAGGAACAAATAAATAGGGAACTTACTGGACTTAGACAGTTCAAAAGATTCATAGAGGGGCCATCCACGAGCAGACAACATCAACTGCTAAACCTTTGGAGAAGCGAACTCAAGTCCGTAATAGGACTTCTTACGGGACACTGCGGCCTTAGAAGACATCTAAATCTCTTAGGGATATCTGATGACTCCCTATGTAGAATCTGTGAAGAGGAGGACGAAACTCTTATTCACATACTATGTCACTGTCGGAACCTTAAATGGGAACGGGAATGGTACTTCGGGGTACAATATCTGGAACCTGAAGAAATCGCGAAAGCGCCCATCAGACATTCTTGAATTCATCAGGAAAATCAATCTGATGGGACAGAAACTGTGAGGGGTACAATAAGCCTAGAGCTTCAGTACAAGTGGGCTTTGAACCACGCCTAATTCAAATAGATAGATATCTCCAGGTTCGATAATCTACCCTGATATCCTTTTTTTTAATTTCTATTTTATATACCACCATTTAATATATAATATTCTTAATTAGTTTAAAAATATTACAGAAACAAAATAAATTAAAAAAAATGTTTCATTCAAAAATATACATATGTTCATTCAACAAATAATAAGTCTTAGAAAAAAATAAAAGTGTGCAACATGTGAGAAAAATCCTTTTCCCAATTACTCGTTTCACAATTTTTCTGCACTCGTGGGGAAACGGTCGTTTTTCTCATTTATTGCCCAAACTACTACAATGTGGATCAAAATTAAAAAATTAAATTTAGCCAAAAATATTTTTTTTTTAGATGTATCAGAGGCAAGTTTGGAAACAGCTTTTGAGCAATAAAATTCTACTGGATCCACAGACGAACAAATTTTTTAAATCTTCTGACCTCTTTGATCTTTTTTCGCTGCAAGAATCTACAGATTCAAATCCAGAAACTGTCAATATTTTCCACAATTCTAGGGTAATATTATTTAAACCTAATTTGATAATTGATTAAGAGACCGCTATTTTAACGAAATACAAGTTTTCTTTGCTGAAACAATTTGTCGTTTATTAGAAACAAATAAATGTAAATACAATAATGTTGCAAAATATTCACAAAAAAAGTTAATACACTTTATTAAATTGTCATATTAATACATTATTTCGAATTACGTTAATTTTCTTAATATTTTGTAGGTAAGAATTCAAGATAAACTACGAGAACAAGCCAAAAAGAGTAAAGACAAGAAAGGAAATAAAGGCGAAGCACAATTTTCAGATGAAAAAATCCAACAAATGAAGAATCTTGCGCAGCAAATAGCTAAGAGCCTTAATAAAAAACCTACTACCCTTCAACTCGAAATTGAAGCGGAAAAGGAGCAAAGAGAAAAAGAAAGAAGACAAATGAAGGAGCTAGAAGTTGGGGAATTACTTAAATATAATAAAGAAAAAGTGAAAAATGTAGAAAATCCTTCTGTAAATAAAATAGATGATTGCGATGCTTTAGTTGGATTCTCAGAGGCATTGACTTACTCAGAAAAAACTGCAGAACTTCACCATAATCTTAAGGCGACCAAAGGTAAGTTACACTATCATATCACTGTCCCTCTACCCCTGCTTTGCTTAAAACTTAATTTTTACGAATCTACCAGTCTTTTCCTCAGAAAATTCACGGAAACGCTGTATTCTCTACTGAACGGCATACAGTGAAACTAGCTTATGGCACCTGATGGACATTGGAGATTTCAAGTTTAGATTATGAATTAAAAATCCTTTGCACATTTCTCCTAGGTATTTGTGACACTAACTAGTTAGGAAACATAAAAAGCAAATCTGGTCTATATAATAATTACTTTTTTATTTCTATTACATAATTTAAAAATAAAGAATTTTTGAGGAATTGGGTGTTTGAGACTAGACCTGAAACTTCTAACACCATTTCGAATATAATCCTAATATATTTGTAAATTGAGCTCGTGATAAAATTATGTAATTTGTAAGTTGTAGTTTACAAAAAGTTATAAAAGTTGCAGTATGATACAGGGTGTTTTAAACAATGATATACTTAATTTACTTAGCGGAATATGCGAGTCTTTTAATAATAAACAAGTGAGTAAAGTTCAATATCTCGACCTTTGTTTTGAATATTTCAAGAAATTATTAAATAGGCATGAAACAAAATATTAACATGTACAATTTAAAATTCATTTATATCAAAAAAGTGTGACAGAATAAAGCTTTGTTTTTTTATGGAAAACCCTTCATATTTTATTTTTTAATCTACGATAATTTTTGGCAGTATCAGTACGTGTTTCTTTGAATTATTTTCGAGTTATTGATATTTAAAAAATAAGGTTTTGGGCCTTGGCTTATAAAATTCAAACGGTTTGATTTAGAGCAAAATGGCTTTCACATTAGAATCTGAATTTTTAATATTGTATTACATGGAACACATTTCCGGTTTGAGCAGAAATACTACTTTGCTCTAAGTCGATCCGTTTGGCTGTTTCAAGAGGGAAAAGTGCCCAGACCAGACCGTCTATTTTTGAGAAGTCCATTAGTACACATTCATAATAATATGTTGTATGTGGAGTATATGATAAAGCTTTAGACTATAGAATTTAGAAGACTGTAGTATTTAAATAGTTTTACATTAATTAAATCTTAAAAAAATTCATTGTTTCTGGAAGAAGCTGTTTATAATAAGGTTCTGTATATGATCTTAAATCAGAAAACACAGGATCTAAAGCTAATAGCAAACTGTGAATAATATTCTCGTTATTTGCCATCCTTTGCGGCGTTTGAATATCCACATCTGAAGCATTTTTTACATCTCGAGCGTTTGTTTATCCACATTGGACACATCTCTACATCTGCGTTTGTTTATCCGAGATGTAGCTGTTCATTTGATATGAGACGTTCTTTTCATGCCAGAAAGTCTAGAGCGTTTGTTTATTACATCTACATTTAGATATTTACAACATCTCAGACACATCCGATGTGGATATTCAAATACAGCACTTGATGATTTCCTGGCATGATTTCTTCTGTAATCCAGAAAAAAATTTGATGTTTCAGTAGTAGTGGATGGCGATGAGATAATCTCATTTCTCTTCTTCTTCTTCTTCTTTATCTTTATTTGGGCTCAACTCTTCTGAATTATTTACCCAGCACCATTTGTAAATCTTTTTTCAATTATGAAACAAGCTGCACTCTTACGCATCTGTCTCTAAGTTCTGAAACAATTCTTAAATTATTATATTACATTCTTTCAAAAATTTACACAAAAGCGAAGCACTAAAAGCAGAGGGGTTTCTAAGCAAGTCTTCTACACATAAAGTAATTTAACTTTTCATGCAGTTTTTAAGCATTAGTTTATATAAATTATCACTACTATGTTTGTTATTAGGGCATTCCAACAGTATATGTCGAATACTACCTATATTACCACTACTACAATTTGGAGATTGATAGACTCCTATTCGATGGAGGTGTTCTGGAGTAGCACAGTACCTATCCTAAGCCTATTTAATGTCGAGCTGTCTTTCTGCTTACTTTGATCTCATTAAACCATGGCTTGTGGAGTAACTTTCCCACTATACTGTGGTAATGCCTTCATTTAATTTTACAAAACTCTGTCCATTCTTCTTCCCATTCTTCTCTATTCTTTGCCTTTATTGTTCATTGTTCCCTAAAATATTCGTGTGACTCGGTATCCATCCCAATTTGATGTTTAATTTATTTGCTTTAGCTTCCATCAATGATTCTCTGACGCATATTTCTGGATACTCCATGTCCATTTAGACCCATTCGAGCTGATAATCTCATTCATTTTTAAACTAACCTTAATTTGAAAATAAAATTATTATATATTAAATATATTTCACTTTTCACACAAAAAAAATCATCAACAGTAATACTATAAATAGGTATTACTTAAAAAGTAATTCTAATAACTATTAAAGTGACAGCCACTAAACATGGACTAAACAATATCCATAACGTAGCGGCCACGGACGCGACAAAACAATATTTTCCATATCCACCTTTGTTGCAAACGGTTGCAGCCAAATTTTGTGTTGATACATTCAGCATAAAGTAGAGATGCCATCCATAGCCATCAACAAATAATCGGAACTTAGTGGGACTTTTTGATAACGAAAACTAAAAGCCGCTATAACAACAAATAATAAAAATAATAATTTAAAAGTTAAAGGGGGCTCCCCTACTTTTTTTTTTGGCTTTTTTGCTCGATCTTAATAAAGTATTTAAAAAGTACCTACATAGTATTAAATCTTGTACGATGGTGCGGAACCCTTCATACGCGAGTCCGACTCGCACTTGGCCGATTTTTAATTTGGCGGTCACTATGACCAATTGGGTAATCGTGTATTTATTAAACAATCTTGCAAAAATTAATTATGTACTAATTAGAAAATATAAACTTATTATTTTGACATGTTGTAGCAAGTTGACTCAACGATTGCCGAATTAATTCTGTTAGTCAAGTTTTGTTTCATGTTTATTTTCCAATTTAGCTGTAAAATCTACAAATTCAGGCGCCGCCTAGTAGAAACGCAACGTGTCCGTGAATTTTGCAGAGTGTGGTAGACGAGTAAACATTAAAGCAGGGGTGGACGTTCTGTGGACTAATAGTAATGTGTATAAATTAAAAAAAAACAATATTTTAATTTTTTTAAAGACCTAAACAAAATAGTCGAGGAAGCCAAAAGAGTAAAAGAGAAAATTACTAAAGAGCCGGACAAGTTAATAAATAAATTCAAGAAGAAAAAAGACAAAGGAAAAACAAAAGTGGATCATTCAGGAAAAGTTGACGGAGAAAAAATTGATGGGTTGCTAAAAATGGAAACAAAGAAAACAAAGAAAAGTAGCGAGGAAGTACCTAGTGGCTCACAGGATGATATTATTTTGGGAAAATTATTTCAGAAAAAAGGTAAGGGGATTTGTTAACACGTTGACACCGACTTTTACCTTTGTTACTGTTACTTTTTATTATGTTAAAGACAAACAATTTTTTGTATACATTCGTCAATTTCAATTACAATTAATACTTATGTCACTAATAGTATAAAAACAAAAACATTTACAATAAATTGAAGAACAAATTAAAAAATTATATAAGTCAATTCAAAATGTCGATAAAATTCATGGATATCATAGAAAACATTCTCCTTCAGAAAAGTTTTTATTTTTTTGGAAAATTTTATCTCGTTAAGCAGGCGCCACTCAAGGGGAAGTAGATTAAACAACTTAACGTGTAAAAATTGAAAAGAATTGTGATTCCTTGTTAGTCGAAAAAATGGCAATCTTACTTGCATATTTCTTGTTTTATAGGCGTTGCATAAGTTAATAATATTCCTCTTTGCATAAATTAAACATTCATAGATATATTGATTTACACATATCAGAATTCCTAATTTTTTGAAAAGTGGACGACAACTGTCCCTGAAATTAGCTTTCTTTTGTGCAATCAATATTTTACCTAGATGACATGAGCCTCCCCAAACATGTCATAATGCTGTGAAATAAACCACGATAAGCCATAAGTAAGACCATGTCATTTACTTGATATGCAAAATTTCTTAATAAATATGAATAACTAGATAACCGAGTTAGAAGATTATTTATATGTGGTTCCCAAGAAAAACTATTGTCAACCTGAATACCCAAATATTTAATTGAACATCTCTCATTGTTTTCTAATGGATTTAAATTAAATATTAAATTTTGAGTTTTATCCTCATTTAGTTTTAAATTTACCATCTTAAAATAATTAGAATATTCCAAAATGGTTTCATTATGCGAGCAGTATAGATCATTTAAAGAACTGGCGATGTCCAGGACGGTAACGTACTGTGGTACATGTACTTATAATTATTGTTTCGAAATTTAAGGAGTTTTCGGAGCAGTACAACACGATTCAGTGATTCAGCAGGGCTCGAGAGGAGGAAGTCTCAGAATTCATACAGAAGCAAGAATGAGAGCTGAAAAATCATTAGAAGCTCTCAGAAAATCAAGAGTAGATAATTGGCGATGGTGAATTAATTTTATTGTTATATTATTGTATTATTTGTATATTTTGCATTGTTTTTTATTATTATATTTATATATTTTTGAATACACATTATTTGCAATAAAATCAGTTTATTCTTTTAGTTAACATTAAAATATCCTTTGAGATAAAGGTATATATTATAGGTATATGCAATATACGAACGTTTATTTTATTTCTAACAATTTTTATTCAAATTGACTTCCGGTACATATGAACTCTTAGTATGAACTCCTGCTTAATTAACAGTTAATTTGACGCCAAAGATATTGTGAAACTCCAGTTGTTAACAGCCAAAGATTTTTAACAACTGTGCCACCAAACAATTACAATTCACTTCCTTTGCAAGTCGCAAGTAGCAGAACAATTAAATGTTTCGATCATCTGATAACTACACACATCTGTTTTTTAATCAAAATAAAATTTTTATAGATAATTATTGATTACTAATAATTAAACATTGTAAAAATACATCAATCTAAATTTCTTTACTGTTTAAAGTTATATTAAATCTTCGTTCCATTTATTCATTCTGAGATTCATTGATAAAGGACCCCGCAATAATCTTATGGAAATTGGTTTTCTGTCAAATTGTCTGAATTTTTGATATGTAGTAGATTTTGTCATCCTGAACAAAAGTCTCCATGGACACAAAGTGCTAAAATGAATTTTTTTGGCAGCTACGGAGCTGCTAAAGCTCCCCTGACCCGTTGCAAAACTATTCATTTTCAATACTATTTACAGATGTCAAAACCATATTTTGATTATTCTAATATATAGGGTAATGTTTTTGAGGTCACTGGATTCAACCCTCATGTCAGATTGGACAAATTGACCGTTGACAGCTGTCAATTCACGGTCAACGACGAATATAAAAGTAAATATCCCTTTTTTACATTGAGAGTTTGGGTTTTTGAGGTCGTTGACAGTTGACAGCTGTCAACTGTCAATTTGTCCAATCTGACATGAGAATTGAATTTAGTGACCTCAAACTCTCAATATGAAAAGAGGATATTTACTTTTATATTCCTCGTTGACCGTGAATTGACAGCTGTCAACGGTTAATTTGTCAAATCTGACATGAGAATTGAATTAAGCGACCTCAATAACCCAAACTCTCAATGTGAAAAGGGGATATTTACTTTTATATTCCTCGTGACAGTGAATTGACAGCTGTCAACGGTCAATTTGTCCAATCTGACATGAGGGTTGAATCGAATGACCTCAAAAACATTACCCTATATATTAGAATACTTAAAATATGCTTTTGACATCTGTAAATAGTATTGAAAATTAATAGTTTTACAACGGGTCAGGGGAGCTTTGGCAGCTCCGTAGCTGCAAAAATATTCATTTTGGCACTTTGTGCCCATGGAGACTTTTGTTTAGGATGACAAAATCTACAACATATCAAAAATTTAGACAATTTGACAGAAACCCAATTTCCATAAGATTATTGCGGGGCCCTTTAAAACGGATAAAGAAAGAAAACTCCAAATTTTATACTTAAGCTTTAATCCATCCTCCTTAGATTTTGGGCATAGTCGGAGCATCTGGGAATACTTTATAGGGGATAATTTTTTGTACTTTAAGGTATATTTCTGTTATTTATGACTATAGAAGAAAATTTTTTTCCACAATGCGCTAGTTCAGTGATGATGTAATTATGGTTCCACTGACAATTAAAGTGACAGAAGATTTTTTGAGTGAGTTTTGTTCGTTTTGCTTACCTAAATTATATCGTTTTTTTCACTTTTATAAATATATTCATATAGTAAGTAGATAGCATGTATCAAATATACAATCGTTTAGTTACCAATTACATTCCTTTAAACTATTTTTTATGACCTGTAAACAATATTTTGAAATAAAATAAAAACAGTAAAAACGTATATGTCAAATTTATTGAAGTTTTTGTTAAAAGTTTGGTTAGAATTAAATGTCAGTGGAACCAAAATGACATCACACTGAACTAGCGCATAGTTGTTTTAAATGTTATTCTCTATAATTGTTCTCATATGATTTCTCTAAAATGGACCGTAATGGAGAAATTTAAAAAAAAGTGTAAAAGATTGTCAGTATTTTCGTTGACAATGAAGATATATATGAAAAAATGTTTTAAATCATTTTTATCTTTAATTCATATTTTAAACACGTCTTTATCGGATGGGTCATATTCAATATATTTGATAACTTTACAGGAAAGTCATATGTTGCGCCTACCATATTTTTAAGATTTGGCAACCCCTATTTTGTGGGCACTTTTACACAGGCAACCTCATTCGATCGTGAAGAAATAAAAATTAACTTCAATTTGATATATAATTTGTTAACATACGTTATGAACGCATACATTCGCAAGTCTCGCAAGAAAAGGCGCTCAAAAAATCTTTGTGGGACCTGAGTCGCTCTACGGTATCAGCAATATTATGAGAATAAAAAAGAATTTGGCAGTAGAATTACCAATAACCGGAACAATCTCTTAGGGCTAAGACAGGCAGAGATATTGCTGGGTGAATATAACCAGAAAATATCTGTATCTGTTTGAGCAAGAACAGGCTATGCTTTGTAACAGGTATCCATACCGGGATTTGCCGACTCGCAATAAACCTTAGTAAACTGGGAGTAGTAGAAGGCAGTGAGTACAGATTCTGTGAAGAGGAGGACGAAATTTCTATTCACATTCTGACTGCGTAGCACTCCAGAATCCAAGAGCACTATATATAGGAGCATACCAAAGAGTAGAGGGCGATCTACTGAACTTGAGGCCATTCCAAATCCTTTACTTGATAGAATAGTATTGCAAGGGCCGTTATAGGAATCGAGACTAGAATTTGGGACCAAGTGAAAAACGACAACCCACTCGTTTTAAGTTCTTTACATATCTCTGATGTGAATTATCCCAACAAACAATGAATTGCTGGGATATTGCTGGCCTTTTGGTATAATTAAAGTGAAAATGAATGCGACTATTAAAATGTAAAAGCCTACTTTTGGCCTTTCGATAGTGGACCAGAATTATGTTGGTTGATGATGACGTTATGAAGGGTAAGTAACCGTATTGGGTAAAAGGCTTTTAACTGCCGCAGACCCAACCCCAATAGTCCAAGAGGGCTCCGTCTCGCCTTCATAGATGGAGACACCGATGATCGCTTGCTACATACTCAACAGGCGGACAAGTACTATGTGGCCAGTCTCGGATTGCTGGTATTCACTATTCAATATTTATTGTAATTTATTACATTTACATGTTGTTAATTTATAATATTTTATAAATAATCTTATTGTAGAAGACATTGTTTCTCTATTATTATATTATACAGCTGAATTAAATAAAATGTCTATAATATTTTATATTGGAATGACTTCTGTTTTTATAGAATGTATATTTCCAACGGCACTATTGATCAAAGAGGCACTATCAAATCGCCTGTCTTGTCATGTGCCTGGCATGGCCTTTAATCAGTAGTCAGTATTAATATATATGGTAAAAGGGCAATTTCCCGTTCCCATAAATAGGCCATTATAAAGGTATGTTAACTGGATTTGATGGCTAAGTGATTTCAGCCCGACTGTCGGCCGTAGTGACCTACATGCCAGCCTTTTAATAATAAAAGTTAAATAGCCATCACTACAATTGGAGCGTAACCGTTATTGGGTCTTTTATTCCCCTACACAAAAAGTTTTGTTAGATATATTTTATCTTCAAAACAAGTGAACGAAATTGTTCGAAAAAAATTAATTGATTCAAAGTACCCGCGGCCATATTTTGATAGACAATCCGACAAAACCGTATTTGTTTATCAACAATTATTTTAAAAAATTGTATTTTGTTTAAAAAAGCAGACGAGTGCAGTAATCACATGGTCGTATTTCGTAGTACAAAGTTTCATGGAAATATATTGATGTATGCATGTTAATGTTGTATTGTAATTGATTGTGTTTCTTTCTCTAATTTCTATATAACCATGTAAGTGTACAACTGTTATATTTGAATTAAAAAATTCCAAAAAATAATTTACTTATAAGTCAATAAATTAAAATGTATATTAAGTGTTTACTCAACCTTTACACCACATACAGCTGTTTAAACCCAGGTGCAATACCCAAATTGTAAAATTAAAAAAATAATATTTATGCGGTTTCTACCATTTTCTTATGAAGAACACTTTTTACTTCCGTTCACAAAAAAGAAATTCGTTCTCGCCACCAGTGGAACACAACACGATCCTGTCGAGCAAATCAAAAATGGCACAGCTGTGCGATGTTTAGCGGCAATACAGCACATGCGCATTATGAAGTTTTTTGCAGAAAATACAACGAAAATTACACATATGCATTATTGGTTGCCTAAATCAATGATCCGAAATGGATCGCCTCCTCCGCCCGCCTTATTAGGATATTTTCTTACATTGAACTCACTGAGCCAAATTCTATTTGTTTCTTCTCCATTTCCTAGTTTTCTGACAAAGTACTTACTTGAAAATTTTCTTTTGTCTTTGTCTTTATTGGCTAAAAATTGATAATTGTTTCCTATCAAAGGAAGACCACGGTCAACCAATATTCTGACTTCGTCGTTGGTAATGCTTCTGGGCCATAAACCGGAGTCCTCTGATATAAAAATACTAGTATTCTCAGTCACCGCTTTAGTAGAAACTTCATCGTCAGAAGTGTCACTTGTAGCCGTCTTTGTTGGGATGGTCGACTCTATAGAGAATATATTTTCGATAAGTGATGATGATGTTGATGGTTCATATGTTGCAGAAGAAGATGGTGGTTAATTCAGAAACTGTATTTTTACCTTCCTCTATCGTTTCAGTGTTGGAAACTTGACTTTTTCGCAAGAAATGTTTTATACTGCCAGCCATCTTCTCCCTTTCTTGGACTCGTAACTTATTTTTGCTCTCGAAATTGCACCAGAAGGTCGTTTTCTCTTCTGTGGCTCCTAGAAATTAAGGAATACTCGATCAAAAATTGGTAGAGGCATTTAATATTGAGGTAATTCAGGTTTTAGTGCACAAACTTTAACAGAAAAATAATAAACATATTTTTTAGACCTAATTTGCCACACAGGAAAAAA